TCAGTCTTATAGTGGAAAGCTTAGCTACAGAACGTGGATCAGTTCCATTTGTAGACAAGCTTCATTTCTCATAGCACCCGGGGGAAACAGAAGCATCCGGGGAAAACAGCTCCACATCTTTTGTGGAAAAGATCCAAAACTCCAGCTGGAGAGTCTACGAAGCCTTGACTAGTATGTCTACTCAGGTAACTAGAAGCAATTGGAGCCGGGAGTAGAGGCCACACCAGCAAGCATAGAAAGCAGATTGCCAGAGGAATTAAAAAGGCTTTTCCTCGTAACGGATAGAAACATTTCTCCAAGCAAGGTGCCTGTCAATTGTAGACAAGTTAAGAAGTATTTGTTTGACCTGTTGAAGATCTAAGCAATAATAAAGGACTTTGTTAAACTTTTCAAGCATCTAAAGACTTTTATATAGGAAAATCCTTAGGGCCTCTCAACAAAGCAACCCGGCTTCCCGCTGGGCACAAAGAGCACATCCTATTCAAAAGACAATTATTATAGACCCAGCGCATGACAGCACAATGATGATGATGATGATGATGATGATGATGATGATGATGATCTCATCCTGACCAAGGCCAACCCTTTGGAATCCAAACGTTTTCCTTCACTTTCTGCCTCCGAAAGAGAAGAGAAAGGGGAGGAAAGGGCAGGGAAGGGGCTTGGGGAGAACTTTAGTATACATAAGAATGGGTGATGTATAAGGATTGTACGCCTTAAATGTGTACTCACTGGCGATACTGCAAAGATGGATTAGCCAGGTTGAACTACTGGTGAATCAGCCCACCCAACAGTGCTCATTTGGCTCCCTTTAATGCGTGGCAAATTGGACTTACTTCGACGAAGCAAGCTGGAGGTGGGTGATAATTATTCCAAGTAGCAGGTGGCAGAATAAGTTCTGATGCAGATGGTTTAGCACAGAAAAGAACAAGCATATCGCTCACTGATGCCGAAAAATGTGCTCTATTTTACCACTGAGAAAGAATTTTTGATTCTCAAACAATGCTGCGGTGTTTGTGACGTTTCCGGGAAGTCTCTTAAGATTGGGTTCCCTTCACAGAACCCAACGGATTGCAACAACTGAGAATACAAAAACCCTGCCAAAGATAGACTCCCTTTGGGCCCAATCTATATACATAAAAATGTAATGTTTGTTTGTGGGATTAACATAACTCAAAAACCACTGGGCAAATTGACACCAAATTTGGATACAATACACCTGTCAGGCCAACAAGTGACCATCACTCACAAAAACACTGAAAAAAACTGCAGAAGAGACTTGAAAAGCCAAAAAACAAAAACAAAAATACAATTGATGTGCAAAACCACACATATATATATGCAAACACACACATATACACAAATATACACACACACAAAACACATATACACAGACTAGGCCACAGCAATGTGTGGCAGGGGACGGCAAGTCTTCTATATAAATAAAAATGTAATGTTAGTTTGTGGGATTAACATAACTCAAAAACCGCTGGACGAATTGCTGCCAAATTTGGCCACAACACACCTACTAATCCAAGGAGTGGCCATCACTAAAAACACCTGATTTTGACATTTGGGATTAGTTGCTGGGATTTATAGTTAACCTACAATCAAAGAGCATTCTGAACTCCACCAATGATGGACTTGAACCAAACGTGGCCCATAGGACTCCCATGACCAACAGAAAAAACTAGAAGGGTTGGTGGGCATTCACCTTGAATCATAGAATCAAAAGAGTTGGAAGAGACCTCATGGGCCATCCAGTCCAACCCCATTCTGCCAAGAAGCAGGAATATTGCATTCAAATCACCCTTGACAGATGGCCATCCAGCCTCTGCTTAAAAGCTTCCAAAGAAGGAGCCTCCACCACACTCCGGGGCAGAGAGTTCCACTGCTGAACGGCTCTCACAGTCAGGAAGTTCTTCCTCATGTTCAGATGGAATCTCCTCTCTTGTAGTTTGAAGCCATTGTTCCACTGCGTCCTAGTCCCCAAGGAAGCAGAAAACAAGCTTGCTCCCTCCTCCCTGTGGCTTCCTCTCACATATTTATACATGGCTATCATCTCCTCTCAGCCTTCTCTTCTTCAGGCTAAACATGCCCAGCTCCTTAAGCCGCTCCTCATAGGGCTTGTTCTCCAGACCCTTGATCATTTGAGTCGCCCTCCTCTGGACACATTCCAGCTTGTCAATATCTCTCTTGAATTGTGGTTCTTCCTCATGTTCAGATGGAATCTCCTTTCTTGTAGTTTGAAGCTAATCGGGGACAGCTAATCACTTCTCAACAAAGGATTCCCCCAGGCAGTAAGCAGCCACACCTTGAAACTGCTAGGCCATTAAATGCTAATCAGGATGGCCAATGGAAACATTCACATCTATCTCAAACAGACAAGAGTTCTTTCTCCCATCCTGGACATTTCACAGATATATAAACCCATTTTTCCTAGTTTCCAACAGACCTCACATCATCTAATAATAATTAATAATAATAAACTTTATTTATACTCTGCCACATAAAAATTAATGGAAGTAGACACTTGAAACCATGAAACGAGACAACCGGAAAAATCTCATAGATAAAACAGGAGCTTGGCAAGAACTTGGTACATGAAACTAAGAGCAGCTCACATCATCTAATAATAACAAATTTATTTCTTTATTATTTATTTAGAACTTTTCAACCTCCGCAGAGGGACTCAGGCCGGTTCACAACAAAAGATTCATAAACAATAGTTTAAAATATCACATCACATAATGCACTAATACATAAAATACAATCATATATAATAATAAACTTTATTTATACCCCACCACATAAAAAGTCATGGAAGTAGACACTTGAAACCATGAAATGAGAAAACGGGAAAAATCTCATAGATGAAACAGGAGCTTGGCAAGAACTTGGTACATGAAACTAAGAGCACAAGACAATGATCAATTTCCAGCGCTGACCCAAATGAGGCAACATTTGCCCATGCATCAATATAAACCCAATTTTTTAAGTTGCCAACAGACCTCACAACCTGTGGGGATGCCTGCCATAGATGCAGGCGAAATGTCAGGAGAGAATGTAAGTAATGCTACCCCTCTATTCTGCTCTGGTTAGACCACACCTGGAATATTGTGTCCAATTCTGGGCACCACAATTCAAGAGAGATATTGACAAGCTGGAATGTGTCCAGAGGAGGGCGACTAAAATGATCAAGGGTCTGGAGAACAAGCCCTATGAGGAGCAGCTTAAGGAGCTGGGCATGTTTAGCCTGAAGAAGATAAGGCTGAGAGGAGATATGATAGCCATGTATAAATATGTGAGAGGAAGCCACAGGGAGGAGGAGGGAGCGAGCTTCCTTTCTGCTTCCCTGGAGACCAGGACGCAATGGAACAATGGCTTCAAACTACAAGAGAGGAGATTCCATCTGAACATGAGGAAGAACTTCCTGACTGTGAGAGCCGTTCAGCAGTGGAACTCTCTGCCCTGGAGTGTGGTGGAGGCTCCTTCTTTGGAAGCTTTTAAACAGAGGCTGGATGGCCATCTGTCAGGGGGGATTTGAATGCAATATTCCTGCTTCTTGGCAGGGGGTTGGACTGGATGGCCCATGAGGTCTCTTCCAACTCTTTGATTCTATGATTCTATGAAAGAGCATTCTGAACTCCACCAATGATGGAATTGGGCCCATGACCAACAGAAAAAACTGGAAGGGTTTGTGAACATTGACCTTGAGTTTGGGAATTATAGTTCAGCCACATCCAGAGAGCACTGTGGACTCAAACAATGATGGATCTGGACCAAACTTGACACAAAAATTCCATATGCCTAAATATGAACACAGATGGAGATTGGAGGAAATAGACCTTGACATTTGGGATTTGTAGTTACTGGGATTTATAGTTCACTACAATTAAAGGGCATTCTGAAACCCACGACAGAAATGGGGCAAACTTCCCACACAGAACCCCATGACCAACAGAAAATACTTAAGGCCATCCAGTCCAACTCTCTTCACCAGGGCAAGAAAACGTAATCACATAATCAAAGCCCTCCTGACAAAGAGCCATCCAGTCATAGATAGAAATAGATAGATATGATTCTCACTCACACACACAGATACAGTTTGGCCCAGTTCCATTGGATTTGAAAGAGACCCTTAAAGAAGGACAATGATATGTTGCATTTATTATATTTATTTATTTATTTATTTATTTAAAAGTTTTGTATACCGGCCTTCTCATCTCTCTTGAGGGACTCAGACCGGTTTCCAACCATAATATCACATACAATCAATACAATCATAATATCACATACATCATAATACATATTACAGTAAAACATTAAAACAGCAATTACAATCAATAACTATAATTGCATATTCCAGAAGAGGCAAACCAGACACTCTCCACATCAACACTGACAAAGAAACAACAGAAATGCTGTTTACTCACAAGCATAAAGGAATTACATATATTAGAAGCCAACACTTTCTCTTTACTTTATTTTCCAGATCACCAGACTGGGCCACAGCAACGCCTGGCAGGGGACAGCTAGTCATATATAATAATAAACTTTATTTATACCCCACCACATAAAAAGTCATGGAAGTAGACACTTGAGACCATGAAATGAGACAACGGGAAAAATCTCATAGATGAAACAGGAGCTTGGCAAGAACTTGGTACATGAAACTAAGAGCACAAGACAATGATCAATTTCCAGCGCTGACCCAAATGAGGCAACATTTGCCCATGCATCAATATAAACCCCATTTTTCAAGTTGCCAACAGACCTCACAACCTGTGGTGATGCCTGCCATAGATGCAGGCGAAATGTCAGGAGAGAATGCTTCTGGAACATGGCCATACAACCCGGAAAATACACAACAACCCAGTGATTCTGGCCATAAAAGCCTTCGACAATTATTATTACTCTGCAAAGACACAATTTGCACAGCGGAAAAAGTGCACAACAAAGAACAGATGGGAAGCAATTGCTCCAGGGATCTTTCTTACCTTCCAGCAAGTCTCTTGCCAGACCTGGTTCTGCCCCCGTGGACCGAACAAAGTCTGACAGGACAGCGTCCATATCAAGAGTCATGGGATCATGTGGAGGCGCTGCGATGTGTGCAGCCGGGGCGGGATTGGGCAGCAAGCTACAAGACATCCATCTGCAAAGAAAAAATAGTAAAGCAACTCTGTCAATAAAGCTACCAATGCATGTTCCGTCATCTTTTGAAATATCGTCAATTTAAATATGGCAAAATAAAAACAGAAGGTCATGATTATCATTTCTGAAGACTCCGGTTGCGTAGCTACAATGGTGACTCAATTGCAATTCGGTACAAATATTCACCCAAAACGATCATAAGACACATTCTGTACCTTTGATCCCACTACGTTTTATTATTCCTCAGTGAAAAAAATAAATCACAACATGAATTCCCATAGTCAATAAGTGTGCAAAGGAGTTCCTCCACCGAAATGAAGTCCAGTATTGTCTGGCTGGCCAAAATCTTTGCCAGGTACATGCATCTATACTTCGATATCAATTTATAATTACTACTAGCTGTCCCCGCCACGCGTTGCTGTGGCCAACCTTCCCTTTCTCTTTCTTTCTCTCCTTCCTTCCCTCCCTCTTTCCTTCCTTCCCTCTTTTTCTTTCCCTTCTTCTTTCTTCC